GCGGTCCTGGTCCAGACTGCCGGTTCTGGTCCAGACTGCAGGTCCTGGTCCAGACTGCAGGTCCTGGTCCAGACCAGCAGTCCTGGTCCAGACTGCAGGTCCTGGTCCAGACCGGCGGTCCTGGTCCAGACTGCCGGTTCTGGTCCAGACTGCAGGTCCTGGTCCAGACTGCAGGTCCTGGTCCAGACCGGCGGTTCTGGTCCAGACTGCAGGTCCTGGTCTAGACTGCAGGTCCTGGTCCAGACTGCCGGTCCTGGTCCAGACTGCCGGTCCTGGTCCAGACTGGCGGTTCTGGTCGGCGCCGCTCTCTCTGGCGTCTCTTCTGTGTTTTAAATGCTTCATAAATGAGACAATGCGGTAATAATAAAAACATTTTATTCTACGTCTTTATGGAGCAATAATAATAATAAATGAGAACTTTAGCAACACAGCTTAAATAATCTGTTCCTCTAATCACAGAAATTAAGATGATAGATTAACTATTTTAATGATCAATCAGCAACTGCTACATTATAGAAAACAGTCAATAATTGTGGACATCAGTGCAATAAGTTGGTCCAGATTAAATCATTGGAATAATCCTGGATCCTCAGTCCCGTTTAATCTGAGAATGAGGGACGTGTTTTCTGACTGAGATTAAACGTGTGAAACAGGAAGTAACTGGTTGGTCTTTAAATAGAGAATATTTGATCCTTTCTCTACATTTAGAAGGAACTGAAGAGGATTTTATTTTAGCTGCTTTGGGTCGGCGGGCGGCTGCTCCGCAGGGGGAGGAGCCAGAACCGTCAGCAGAGGAGCATCACAGGAGGAGATGTTCCTCAATAGATCCTGAACGATTAACCTTTATCATCATTAGCTCGGTACCGAACCCAGACTGTGGTGGTTAGACGCCATGGAGGCGGAGCTTCTGGCTCCGTCTGCTGCAGGCTAACGGAGATGAAAGCTAAGCTGCGCCGCGCCTCATCAGGAAGGCGAGGCGTTTCCGTTTGACCTTCTGCTGCAGCACATCGGCGAGCTCAGCAGCCAGGAGACGCCTCCACCTGGAGGACGGAGCTCCAGGAGGGGTTAAAGGTCACCTGGAGCAGCGGGACGCCGACAGGACGTCCTGAACCTTTCAGACCCACCATCAGTCAGGAAACACACAGCAGGTTATTCCAACATGGGAGCATTTTAATCCAGTCAGATTAAAACACACGGCTATTTTACACCAGTCCTTCAGAGGCTAAAGAAACAAACACGGGTCCGAAGGTCCAAACTAGCCGCAGCAACAGAACCGGGCTGAAGTCACCACATTAATGACACACAAAGCTAGATCCAAAAAGGTCGCCGCATCGTCTACGTCAGGAAGGAAGAAGTTAACCTTTGACCTGGAAGCCAAGGAGCAGAGATAACTAGTGGTCTGCTGGTGAACGTCCCGCCCACTACCGCCATCAGAACCGCTAACCCATCAGAAGCTCCAGAACCAAGCCCGGTTATCCGGCATCCAGCCCAGCTCCACCCAGTTCAGAACCAGTAGATCTGCTCTACTGGACCTGAAGCTAGAGTCTGATCTAGGTGGACCCAGGTTGGAGCCCAGGCTGGACTAGAACGGGGACGGCTACGTTCTCTGCGTTCCTGAGGAAACATGGACATCTATTCCTGAGCTGGGATCACAGACCAGCTGAGGTCTACATGGGAGAGAGCTGGTGGAGGCAGCTGGAGATCCGGGGCGGCCGTGGACCTGCAGCTAACCCTGGACGTTTGTTTGTTGGCAGGACGTCAGCAGGCTGGAGGGTCAGATGTAGAACAGCCGGACCCTGGAGGTGCTGACGTGAAGGTCGTTATCGAAGAACTTGGTCTCTATGATCACGTTGCCCCTGAAAGAGAAAAGACGCCGCCGTTAGCTGAGCAGCTAAAGGATAGACATCCTCCCCCCTAGATGTCCTGAATCCAGATCCGCTCCTTCAGGCTGTGGAGTCGCCCCCCCCATCATGGTTCTCCTATAGGGAACAGATCTCAGAGGGAGGCCGGCTGGGTGTGACGTAGACCACCGTTCTACAGTCCTGCTCTCCAGTACGTCAGTCCTCCATCATGAATGCGATAAGCGTCCACCGCCGGGTAACATCGGACCGATCCAACATGGCGGCTCCTCAGAGGGTGTGGCTTCCTTTGGACGGATGGTCGCAGCGAGGATGACTACAGCAGCGTCTGCGGCGATCTGGATCAGCCATCTTTACCCACTAACCTGAACCCTTCAGGCATCATGGCGGCGTCTGAGCGCCGCAGGAGCAGAAAGCCAGAAGTCTTACGTTAAAACGTTGGCGGGCATCATCTGGGACTCTGGCGCCGCTTCTATCAGGGACTGCCACGTGTTGGTGGAGTTTGGGATGACGAAGCCGAACTCAAAGAACCATTCTGCAGGCAGAGAGAAGATCATTAACATCTACTGGTACATCAACAGGTCCTGGATACCCTTCTGCCCCAGGGGGCGCCGCTGCTAGCATCACTCCTAGCAGCACCGTGCTGCCCCAGGGGGCGCCGCTGCTAGCATCACTCCTAGCAGCACCGTGCTGCCCCAGGGGGCGCCGCTGCTAGCATCACTCCTAGCAGCACCGTGCTGCCCCAGGGGGCG